CGCCCCGGGGTACCTCTTGCAGATGGACGCGTCGTCGCAGGTGCCGCGCACGCCCTCGTCGTCGGTCTCCGTCGAGGAGGAAGGCCCGGAGTTGAAAGTGGGCTTCCTCAGGCTAGCGGCCATGGGCGCGGAGGTTCCGGGGTGCTGTGCCCACCCGGGACATGGAAGCGGGGTCCACAACCCCCCGGGGAGTCAGCAGCCTCTGGAAGGCGGGAGAGAGGGGCTGGGCTCGCCGGGCTCAGCTGGCGCGGCCCCGTGACACCGCCCACGACCGCTGTCCCAGCAACCTTCGCGTTCATTGGAGCCTCTGACGGGACGCTCATTGGGTAATTTCCCCGCCTCTCAGCCTGCGGAGGTGCTCATTGGACAACTCCTTTGGCCCCGGCCACACAACCCGGAAGCTTGCGGGGGAGGGGGAAGTAAACTAAACTTGACACTGTAGGGTACCGCAATGCTTTCTGGGAATTGTAGTCTTAGGGGCTTTGGGAGGCCACTGGGTTTCTTAAAGCTAGTCACGAAATTTTATAACTGTAATTAACTCAGGGCAGGATCCTAGCTTTGGGGCAAAGGGCAGAGAATCCAACCAGAGGAAACAAGTGTCACTGTGACATTCAGTCAGGGCTCAGTCTCATTCAATGATTGAACAAATACAGGGCGTCCCCAAAAATGTATACACATTTTAACAGCTGATAGCTCAATTTTGAAAATGAAATGTATTTTAATAAACACTGCCTTTATAATTATTCAAAGTGTGTGTATACATTTTCGGGGGGACACCCTATATTTATTGCTCCACACACATAATGGCCTCTAAGACGTCATGAAGGAAGGAATGTGTGGAAAACTAAGTAGCAATGAAAATGAGTGAACTAGAGCTGCCAGGGGCTTAATTGCAGAAATGTAATATTCACCGAAAGAAAGAAATATCACATTTTTATAAAGTTCAAAGCAAGCAAAAGTAATGTTATTTAGAGAAGCATACCTATATGGTAGAAAGTACTATACAGGAAGGTAAAGAAATGGGGGGCCAGGACTCGGGGTCCACCATTAGCGAGTGTGGAGAGTAGGACACTGAAGGACAAAGAAAGGGAATGAAGGAGTACATAGACACCGTGATAATTTCTCGAGTTGGGGTGGGTTCACATGTGTTTGTTTTACTATTATGCGTATTCAGTGTGTTCATTACAAATACCTTGTACTGGATTTAGTATAAAGCATTTTCTAAAGTGTGTTTGCATGTGCCATTTCATTACCTGTCAGGCGCAGGTGACAGATATACTCAAACTTCAAGAACCCTGGATCACACACACACACACACACACACCCAAAATGAACAACAAAAGCCCAGCACACACGTCTGGGGCAAGATCAGAATCAAGTGCTTGCTTAGTGTTCAGTGCAGGAGCAAGAGCTCATTAATACCCAAAGTAGAAACGACAGTGGGGAAGGCTGAGGTTAGGGGTCTTGCCAAGGGGAGTGGTGAGGAGATGACACACACCATTTTCTTTGAGCGGTCCTCTGCCAAGAGGGTAATGCAAACCGCTGAACAAACACAGTGTCCTAGGTGGCAGTGTACACATTCCATGGATGCACTGTCAACAGCAAGTAGAATAAGCTGTGGGTACTACAGGTATGGATGGTGGCGATGAGGGTGACTAGAAGAAGGTGGCAGATAGTCTGATACATTTGTAGTGTTTGGTGAGCAGGGAACACTTCTGTTCTTTGCTGAGCCTTCAGTTCAGAAAGAGATGGTGATTCAGAGGACTTTGGTCAGTGTTTCACTGAGGGCCAAGCCCAAGGCTTCCCGCAGGCAGGGCCAGCTCATTCCATTTAAGTTCCTGGTCAAGAGGTTAGAACTTTATGACATAGGAGTGGAGTCAGGAAATAGCAAGCTTAGCGATCTCAGGCTGTGTTTTGCCTCCAAATATGAGACTACTGAGTAGTTGTGAACAGTGTCCCAGCCAGAGAAAGGTCAGTAATCAGCATCCTCTGACAAAGTCAAGAAAAGAAAAACTGGAGTTTAAAACTGCTATAAAAATTAATTTTGGAAGCAAAACACTGGGCATTAACCATGAAACTTCTTCCCCAAGAGGTTAGAGTGAACATCTGTTGCTTTGGCTCTCTTGTATTTCTTTCTTCTGGAGTTTATTATGGAAAACTACACTCCCCTTTCAGCTTACGTGGATCAGGTGAGGCCCCCTGCCCAAGGAGTGGAACCTCACCCAAACCTGGCCAATCACACACAAAATCACCCTG